GGCCTAACTCTGTGCCAACTTCGGCCACTCGGAGTCCCGCGACGGCCTACAAGACCGAGGGCAGCTACTCCGTCGACCTCCCCGACGGCCGCAAGCAGACCGTCAAGTACGTGGACAACGGCGACGGTTATCGTGGCTGAGGTCAGCTACGAGGGCGAGGCTCAGTACCCCGAGTACAAGCCCCACCTACAAGCCGCTCCCTACCACGCTCCCCCCAAGTACCCCGTGTACTAAGGGTGTCCCTTCAGAGTCAGACATCTTTGCTAGACTTTTGCATCTGTTGTGTCCCTTTTGAATACACTCAGATGAAAAACTGCAAGGATGGGCGAATATGTGATACTGCTTAGATATTTTTATAATAAATTACACCAAAAATAATTCATGTCCATTTTTATTGTGACCAAAATTGATACTGCAGCTAAAGAAATTTCCTTCTGCACTAAAGATTACAACACTCCCACGCAAGACAACTTTCTTACATCTCAATCCTTCCTTCATGAGGAAAAAATATAACCAAAGATTTCCTGATGGCACTGCATGGGTGGTCTAAAATGCGATATTACTTTGATACTTTCAAATTAGAAATAAAGCATTTTCTAAAAGGATATATGCCATTCTAGTTGTTAATACTGGATACCACTTGTATTACAAAATATACAGTAAGTCTGTCAAGTCATAATGTCGTCGTACATGAAATTATTTTTCATATCAAATTGATTTATACAAATAAGCCACACTCAGCTGATCACACTATAAGCTATACTGAATCATTCATGGACAAGTACAGATTTCATCACTGAATTCATATAAGTGACTATTAATAAAACCCAGGGTTGTAGATATGCTGGCAATGTGGATTAACATATCACTGTTTTCTAGTTACATTTATTTCATCTCTTCGTGTTCATTTCAAAATCATTGCAAAACACATAATCTTTATTTCCTTCTAATGCAAAAGGCAAAAAAGTCAAACACGTCACTTCAAGAAAGATATTCTATCCTCATCAAGGTTTTCCATAGTGCAGTGACCTTATTTAATGCACAAACAGGGTAGTCATTTTGAGGGAAGGGGGGGGGGGCAGGGGAAGGGGTGGATCCCGGTTTCAAAGGGTGGCCTCGAAGTGAAGTGAACATAATACATTTTTTCAGATTTTTTTATTATTATCATTATTATTATGTGTTATGGAGATAATATGTATATACAACAGTCCTAGATCAACATATTTTTATTATTATTATTACATTATGCAGTGGCTGTAAATATCATACTCGTGTTAAAAAGAACGAAAAATCCGTTATAATAGTCTGATGACATTATTTACAAGAATAATAGAATGGTGTCTTTTTTTTTTTTTTTTTTTTTTTTTTGAATCATCGCTCTCATTACCTATTCATTATCATTTGACTTGAAATTTCCTTAAGTAAGTTCAAAGGAGGTAGTTAGACTAGAATTCTTTAAACAAAGTATTCTTTTTTTCCAACTTTTACATCGGTAGGAGATACAATGCACAATGAGCCAATGGTTTGTAGCCTATCATGCTTACGATGAAAATTGGGGTATTAAAAAAAAAAAAAAAAAAAAAAAACGATAAGACAGCCAATGTTGTCCTTAGTACAATGTATATGTCCCAAAACCTATTCCATACGGCCTCAAAACGCATGTGGAACTGTCTATGCTCGCGGCACTTACCAACAGAATTTAATAGGGAGTTAGGTGAGTTCCAGAAATGACTGGCCATATACCTAAGGTAATGTGAAATGACGCCTTTGCTTACACACATAGAAATATAATATTTCACTTGTAACCCCGACTCCTTCCCCCTCTCCGGTCTGTCTCACCTGTGAAAGAAAAAATAATAAAGTTGCTTATAGATACGTAGTACACCTATTCAAATAATATGATTCACCTAGTTGATCATACTAAATCCTGTATAGTTACAGAACGCCCTATTTATTCGATATACTTTTCTTAAATGAATTTACATGGAAAGGTAAACATTTACAAGGTGTATTACAAATATATATGACCACATAAGGTTTTTTTTTCGTCTCATAAGCCATTTCAGCATATTTGTGGTTAAGCGTTTATCCAGTTCAGCGATTCCCGATCGTTACGTTTTGTAGGAATCCTTGAAACAATTTTTCATATCGTATATAGATTACTCCTTCTATTCCTTCGGCTTTTCGACTATTAGTTTACGGGATGCAATAATAATTACCGGCGTTCCTTCCTCTGCTATTCTCTTTATATGCCAATGACACATAATGACATTTTGCAAAACTTTTTTATTTATGCAAAATATGTGACTGTATCTGTCTCATAGTCATAGATTTAAGTTCATAATTACAGTTAGATATGAATTTGCCTGAACTCTGTACATTTAGAAGCCCGGATAGGGTAATTGATTTTTGTTTTTTTTTTTTTGATTCATTATTTTTGACGCGCTTTTTGACACCGATCTGATTGCCGATTCTTATATTACATGTAGATAGGAATTCCATAAAATGGTAAAGTTGTATGTGTATCCACAAGTGTCTGTAATGTATAAGGAATTCTTTATTTACTGTCAACAAACCTAACATGGTTTGAATGGCTTTCTCCCGCCAGGGTAATCGACAGACCTTGAACTCGTCCCAGCAGAGGATGTGGACCCCTATAAAAGCGGCTGAGACACTTCCTCGCCATCAAACGTCAGCCATGTCTCTCAAGGTACACACGCTCCTCCTCACTCTCCTGTATTTGCTAGAGCGAAAAGGACGAAACAAAATGTTAAATATTGCTTAAATAGTGGATATGATTTTCGAATTCGATTCCTTTCATTAAGTGAAGTATTTGTTATATTTCAGGTGATCCTCGTAGCGTGTGTGGCCGCAGTGGCTCTGGCCGATAAGGCTCCCGTGCACCATCTGCCACCTGTTTACGCCGCACCCACGTACCACGCTCCCGAACCCGTGTACCATGCCCCTGCCCACTACAAGGAGCCAGAGTACCCCGCCCGTAAGTAATTCTTCTATCCTTACCCACCGTACGTGGTCTAGTGCTGGCAAAAGTCCTTGTGAAATTATTTTTATTTGTATGAGATGGGTTTAATATTATTCTTTAATCAGGTCCCCCCGAAGTACAACTACAACTACGGCGTCGCCGACGGCTACTCCGGCGCCAACTTCGGCCACTCGGAGTCCCGCGACGGCTACAAGACCGAGGGCAGCTACTCCGTCGACCTCCCCGACGGCCGCAAGCAGACCGTCAAGTACGTGGACAACGGCGACGGTTAGCTGAGGTCAGCTACGAAGGCGAGGCTCAGTACCCCGAGTACAAGCCCACCTACAAGCCCGCTCCCTACCACGCTCCCCCCAAGTACCCCGTGTACTAAGGGTGTACATTTCGCTCAGACTTCACGCATATATATCACTCATCTCTGAATTGCTTCATTTCATTTTCTAAACTGGATCACTAAGGCTGAGGCTATGTGATCCTGCTTTATACATGGAGATTCATAATAAAATATTTTTACTATAAACAGCCATTTTTTACTCCTAATCCAAACAAAGCTACAGAATATATATGTGTGTGTGTGTGTGTGTGTGTGCTAATAAATGTACACATGATTTTATTTTACTTTCTTATTTTCCACTCTGCATTCTTCTTTTCGTGTTTTGCTTCTAATTTATTATTTGGTTTTATTATTTCTAAAACGACCAGTTTTCTGCCTACCTTCTATTTCTTAAACTCAAACTGATCAAAAATGATAGACAAATTTAGTATAACGTAAAACATTTATTACGTATCGCGTCTTATTTTGGTGTTGCAAAATAAATAGATAATATTCAATAAACAGTGTTAACACCAACAGGTTTAGAGCCATTTGGGTGTCCTGTGCGAGACTATGCTTTGACACCCTCCCCCCCCCTCTTTCCCCCCACCACCTCAATTTCCATAGGACCCCCCTCCCCCCTACAGACAGTGGTGCCATAAGAAACTGTCAATATTGCCTATGACAAAAGCCGACTCAGTGTTAATGAATTATAACGAATGCAAATAGTGAAAAATTGGAGTGGTCATCCGTATCACAAGCGGTTTGTCTGACTCAATTCATTCTTCGATTTATATTGATCAAAACTTGACCGCGTAAGAACCTTAAATTAACCGGAAATTTTAGTTGACACAGTCTCCTTTTGTGAGAAAAAACGAAGTCAAGAATGAACGAAATTAGGCGATGGCAATATACCTCGTCCCACGCACTCGAATGAGCCTCGTCTCAACCTAATGATTTTGATTTCGATGATGTTAGATTAAGGTTTCGCTCATTTTCGTTTTCGTGTTATACGAAGTCAGGAATGAACAGAACCAGATGTTTTTTTCAGTAAATAATATTCGTCACATGTTTTACTGAAAGGCATTCCTTATTTTCTTTCGAAATACTTTGTAATACTAAAAATAATGTCATTGCTTTGAATACGTACACATGTGTATGCATGATATATATATATATATATATATATATATATATATATATATATATATATATATATATATATCATAAGTATGCATATATCACACACACGCAACCATATATGTGTGTGTGTGCATACACGTGTATGTATATACATTCCCATACACAAACACACACACAGATATACATGTATCTATCTATCTATCTATCTAATCTATATATATATATATATGCATATACATAAACGTATATACAAACGTGTGTATGAGAGTGCGTGTGTGAATACGCGCGCGCGCGCGCACGTGTGTGTATATATATGTATTTATACATATACACACGTGAGTATGTGTGTCCGAGTAATTTATATGTATATATACGCACATATATGTATTTGTATTCATATCCACACACATATATGGATATATATGTATATATATGTATATATATATATATATATATATATATATATATATATATATATTCATATGCACACATATATTCATATATATATATTGTGTATATTCATGTGTATATATACACACATATATATACATATCCATACATACATATAAATGTTCATATATATATATATATATATATATATATATATATATATATATATATATATATATATATTATATATATATGTATGTATATGTATGTATATACATATATGTGTGTGTCTACGTGCACACACACACACACACACACAACACACACACATATATATATATATATATAAATATATATATGTATATGATTATATGTATATATATATACATATATATATGTGTGTGCGTGTGTTGTGAAAGTCTACTACAATACACAATTACAATGTTTTTACTGAAATAAAAACATTGTAAAATCCGAACTGGATGATCACCCATTTGGATTTTTCCGCATTATCAGGAACTCTTGAGCTCGAAACTTCACTTTCAAATCATAGAATATGCTTTATTTTGTTTATGTCCACGTTACTGTGTTTTGGGCTTCATTTTACGGACACACACATATGCATATATATATATATATATATATATATATATATATATATATATATATATATATATATATATATATATATATATATATATATATACTATATATATATATATATATATATATATATATATATATATATATGACTGTGTATTTCTATGTCTGTACGTTTATGTGTGTGTGTGTAATCAAAGAAACCGGCATAGAAACAAATTAAAAAACCGGGAAACAGGAAGTACTCAATTTTCAGTTTACATTTCAATTTCTTGCCTCCTATTTATTCGCAGTCTATAAACGAAATGGCGTCCAACCTATTAGCAGCCTTGGCGCGGGCATGGCAAAGCCCCCTTTCCTCCATTCAGGGCAGGTCCGCGACCCTGATCTCCTTCCTCTCGTCAGGATGTGGACCCTATATAAGCGGCCGAGACACTTCCTCGCCATCAAACGTCAGCCATGTCTCTCAAGGTACGCACGCTCCTCTCGCACTCTCTCTGTCACGAGGACGAAGACCCATGAAAGTAACTTATACCATGGATGGGAATAATGGAGCTTCGAATTTTGTCTTTGTTATTAAGTGGATTTGTTTTTGCGTTGTGATTGCAGGTGATCCTCGTAGCGTGTGTGGCCCGGTGGCTCTGACCGATAAGGCTCCCGTGTACCATCAGCCTCCTGTTTACGCCGCACCCACGTACCACGCTCCCGAACCCGTGTACCATGCCCCTGCCCACTACAAGGAGCCAGAGTACCCCACCGTAAGTGATTCATTCCATCTTTAACCACCTACGTGGTTTAATGCTGGCAAACAAAGGTCTTTGTGAAAATATTATCATCTGTATGAACTGGGTTTAATGTTATACTCGAATCAGGTCCCCCCGAAGTACAACTACAACTACGGCGTCGCCGACGGCTACTCCGGCGTCAACCTCGGCCACTCGGAGTCCCGCGACGGCTACAAGACCGAGGGTAGCTACTCCGTCGACCTCCCCGATGGCCGCAAGCAGACCGTCAAGTACGTGGACAACGGCGACGGTTATGTGGCTGAGGTCATCTACGAGGGCGAGGCTCAGTACCCCGAGTACAAGCCCACCTACAAGCCCGCTCCCTACCACGCTCCCCCTAAGTACCCCGTGTACTAAGGAGGACTACACTCCCACGCAAGACAACTTTCTCTCCCTCTCAACCCATCCGTCCTGGTTGCCAGAGCATGACGAAAGTTTATGATGGCACTGCAGGGGTGGCCTAAAATGTGATATTATTTAAATTCTTTCCAATTTATAATAAAACACATCTAAAAAGATATGTAATTTTAGTTGTAAATCCTGAATACCACTAGCATTAAAAAAAAATAAAAAAAATAAAAAAAAATGAATCATTCACAATGTCGTCATTCATGAAATCACGTATTTCGTATTAAATTAATCGCCGAGTTCATACAAGCGACTGTTGATTATATCCCCAAAATGTTGTAGATATACTGGAAATATATATTAGCATATCGTTATTTTCTAATTGCAATTTTCTTCGATGCCTCATTTATATCATCGTTTTCTTTTCAAGATCACTTCACATCATTTTTCTTCTTCTCGGACAAAAGTTAAAACACGTCAATGACATCACTTCAAGAAAGTTATTCTATAATCTTCAAAAGTTTATCCATAGTACATTGGCTCTATGTTATGCACAAACGGGGCAGTCATTTGAGGGGAGGGGGGGGGGGGCTGGATACCCGGGGTTTCAAAGGAGGGATTCAGAATTAAATTAACCATTTAGAATTATGCAGATAATAACATTCAGAGATCAACATTTTTATTATTATTATTTATTTCTCTTTCCATTACATTATGCAGTGGCTGTCAATATTGTATTCTTGTAAAAAAAAAAAATAAATAAAATAAAAAAATAATAAGGTGCCGCTTTCTCAGTTCAGTTCAGTTAGATTTGCGGTCTTGCTTCGCCTGGGCCTTTTCTCTGGAGTGCCCTGATTGGAATATTTTCAAGAGTAATGGCAATTTGCTTCTAAATTCTTATTTCCACTGCTTATTAATTA